GTGGATCTGGGAAAAGTCCATACAAGCATACATACATACATGTTTGCTAAATAATAAATATATATACACATGTACATCTTTAAGGATATTTATAAATGTTTCTTGGGGAATACCTTTGACAAAAACACCAACAAAATTCCCAGAAAATCCAAACGTCCTTGGAAAATGCCTCAATTTACGTAAGTAAAAAGGCGGGCATACATATTTTATTTTACATATTTTTTTTTTATTTTTATTTACATACATACACATGTTTATACATATTTACATACAGTAAAGGGTGCACAATATCTGTTGCCAGCAGTACCGTACAACAGGATCTTTATTAGCATAAATAGGGTTATCCATTTCATTGTTCTAAAGTACAGGTCTGTATTTTGGCATATATCAAACATTACTCTCAGGCTTTTATGAAAATGGATCGCTTAAAAACCGCACAACACGTTTAAATTTTTAAATCTCACAATAAAAATGGTTTGATTTAAAAGTGGTCACGTTTCGTGCTTTAAGAAGAGACTACGGTGCGCTTAGTTGTCCAACAAATCAAGCGATTGTTAAGATTTTAAAGAAATTTTGAAGAGACTCGTTCGGCTGCAGATATTATGAGGCCTGTCCACGATCGTTTTTTTCGTTCCATCTCAAATATCCCTACTCTAGATGAAAACGTAGCCGAAGACACGAATGTGTCTATCTCCCGACGTTCTCAATAGCTAGAACTTTCTAGCGACATATTTTGCACTTGAACTTACACTTACATCCATACTTAAAGTCCAGCTCATACAAGAACTGATGCGAGCTGATCGTACATATATCCGTCGACTGGGTGCTTGAACAACAAGCCGTGGAGGGCGAATTTTCGTACGAAATTCTCTTCAGCGACGAGTACTCGGATGATACGTAAGGCTTCGGCAAAGATAAATCTTTAACTCTTGAGCACGTGAAAACCAACGTTCGTCGAGATAAGGCTGTGATACCGACCAATATCTCCCAAAAAGAGTTCGAAAATTAACTCAAACGAATCGAAGTTTGCAAAAACTCGCGAGGTTGTCATTTGAATAATGTAGTGCTGTATATGTTATAGGTTCAAACTTTACAATAAAAAAGGCGTTTCATGAAACAGAATGTATAACCCTGTATATAAAAGAGCTTGTCCTGGATGGCTGATAAATCAATCCATAGCCAAAACTACTGATCTATTTATTTTTAAATCGTTCGATTTACCTGAAATTTGGTACGCCCCGTGTAAAAATTGGTTTTCAATAAAGAAAAAATGTTGAATAAAACTATACGGAGCAAAGGCGGGGTAACTAATGCCAATGAAAAGCAAATTTATCAAGTTTTTCTCCCTAAGCACCGTAATTTACATACATACAAACATATAAATGTGAGGGTCATCGGGCAGTTCGTATTTATTAAACATTGCAAGGTATTTAATTAAATTCAATTGCACGCAAGATTTGTTATTGCACATAAAAATGTGAGATGTAAGGTCGGTGCGTAGCAAAGTATATATGTACATACATACATACGAGTAGTTGACACATAAAGTTGGACGGCAAAATAAAATTTTTGCAAACTACAATACATGAGCTGTGTGTTATTATACGTGTATTTATTTATAGAAACCTACATATATATACATACATATATAAATATGTATATGTATATATGGTATTGCTGTTATTTGATTTCTATGCTTCCCTTTTACGCCATCGTTTTTGCTCTCGAACTTTGTCTACCTTTAATTGAACCTTAAATTGTTATTGAGTTTTGTTCGACAAAACATTTATATAATATTTACAGTGGAAATTGTTTTTAATTATATTGCACATGCCATACACATATATATTTTTAAGTGTGCGCGTATCCATATCTACATATATATACATACATATGTTTGGCAATAATAATTAAATTTGCATTTAAAAATTTTTTTCGAAAATTGAAAATTTATTTAAATTGCTCAGCAACCTAAGAGGGTAATATTCTTATATACTTGTGTATATGTACATGCCTTGGAAAGAGAGAACTATGCAATTCCAGGGCAAGGCCGCTGGTAAGCTGAATGCACCGTTGGCATTTAAGGTGTTTGGAAAGAAATACAGGGAATAATTATTTTGCAGAAGATTTAAATTTCGCTGTAAATTTAATACATTTTTACACTTTATAACGAAGGTTTTTATTGAATTTATGCTAAGTAGTTTTTCTTTAAAATTTTAACTAAAACAAGGGCAAAGTTCGAAAACTGCTCTAAATATGTATGAATCTTTATGTGCATATATACATACATACATACATATGTATGTATGTACGAGTACAAATGTATGTGTATGAAGGAGTTGCAGAATGGCACAAGGTCACTCGAAATTGGCGTGGGTATACATACTAAAAGTACGGTACGGTATGTACATATATACAAGTACATATCTATTATATATATATAAAAAGTATATAGGATAGGTTGATATACTTAAAGTTGTTTTAGAAATTTCTTTTGTTAGATCTTTACGGAAAGAGTACATTTATAAAAAAAATTCCTAATTTTTCCAAAAAAAAAAAAAATAAAAAATATATAAAATATCATTATGTTTGAGACAGACATGAGTATGTATGTATTTCAAATTATATTAAAATTACTAATCATGCTGCGGATTTCTTCAGCGGGAATTATTGTAAGCTTAAAATGTGATACCTAAGAAATTCAAATAAAATAAAACAAAATAAATCAAAGAAAATAAATCAAAGAAAATAAAGCAAATTTCATTTTAAAAAAGTCAATGTAACAAAGAAAATTAAGAAAATGAAACGAAATATAATAAAATAAAAAGGGGACAAAATTAAATAAATAAAACAATATATGTCTATAAAACAATATATATATATATATATATATATATTTATGTTGTTTTATTCATTTATATATATAAATATATATGTATATACTTATATATTTAGTTTTAATTAATTTTTTGTATTTTATTCTATTTTAATTTTTATATATATTTATGTATTGGATTGCCCAAAAAGTAATTGCGGATTTTTTTAAAGAAAATAAATGCAATTTTAATAAAACTTAGAATGAACTTTAATCAAATATATAATTGCCATTTTGTTCGATAACCTTTTGCCATCTTCCTGGCAAATTTAGTATTCCACGCTCATAGAACTTCTGGCCTTTATCTGCAAAAAACTGAACCAAGTAACAGCTGATATCTGACAGAAGAAAGAATGCAATTACAGAGTCACAAGCCGTTGAAAAAATTTGTCAACGCCGACTATATGAAAAATCCGCAACTACTTTTTGGGCAACCCAATATATATATATATATATATTGTTTTATTTGATTATTTGCATTTTATTCTATTTCAATTGTTATATATACACATATTTTGTTTTATTTACCTTATATGATTTTATTTTAAATTACTTGTTTACTTTTCTATAAACAGTCAATGTAACAAAGAAAAGTAAAAAAGTAATTTAAAATAAAATTATAAAAATTATTAAAAAACAAAATAAAATAAATAAAACAAAATATATGTATATATAATAAATTAAAATAGAAAAAAATACAAAACATAAATTAAAACAAAATATAATAAAATAAAGTAAAATGAAATAAAAGAAAAAAATAAATTAAAATATAAAAGAAAAGTAAAATTAAATAAGTGAATGAAAATAAATAAATAAAGTAAAATAAATTAGGATAAAGCAAAATAAAAGAAATTTAACAAAAATAAAATAGAACAAAAGCAATTAAAATAAAATAACGTAAAATCAAACAAAATAAAATCGATTGACTTGCAACTGAGCTGTCGCCATCAAATGAAATTTACTCCTTTACGGGATGCAATAAAGAGGAACAATTTAAATTAAAAAAGAATAAAATAAAAATAAGTAAAGCAAAATAAAAAGAAAATTAAATTAATATAAATTAAATAAATAAATAAAATAATTAAAAAACTAAAACAATACAAATTTGAAAAAAAATTAAATTAAATAAAAATGTTACTATGTAAAATTAATAAAATTAAATAGTATAGTAAAAAATAAAAATGAAATATCAAATATAACTAAAATTAAATTAATTAAAATAAAATTAAATGAAATAATTGTAGGTAGAAAAATTGAAATCATTTAAATAAACTATATTAAAATGTAATGAATTATATATATATTATTTAAAAGAAAATAAAGTGAAGAATAGTTGAAAAAAATAACACAAAAAACTCAAAACTGGCTATGATAATTCATGCAGCATAAGCCCAACACATTAGTTTTTACACATTTAGTGTTGGCATGAAAAAAGGGATTAAAGTAGGATTTAATATTTCCAACATAAAAACAGTGTGCTCACCACAAACCTACAACTATTTACAAAAATATTTCACTACTTTCTGCAGCGCTTGTTGTTGTTTATTACGGTAGTAAGAGGTACAAAATATTATTGCGAGATTTTTTTTTTTCTATTTACTGCAACCCTACACTTAGTTCTACCAAAACAAAAATAACCCTGTTTACTTATTTATAATGAATATTTTGACGCCAAAGCAGGACAATTCACAAAATAAACACTATGCACACACAAATAAACCATGCGCTAAGAGAGCAAGTCTTAACACAAACAACAACAGAAGCGGCCATATTAACTTTTGTTGAGTAAGGGAAACAACAGCAGACAACAGTTAGTAAATAGTTAGTATTGTATATAGCGCGGTCTACTCTTCTGTTTGGCTGGTTTGGTTGCTGGCTTACTTGCTGGTTAGGGGTTGTTCAGAGTGATACTCAGCGGCTCTCTTTGTGGAACGTGTACGTGAATGTTTGCGCTCTTGGACAACCAATCAGAGTAGGTAGAGTCAAAGGCGTGAAGCATAAAGAGAGAAGAATATGCTTATACGGGCATTTGTAAGTAATTTTGTTTGTGTAATTAGAGAGCCACATAAAGCCGGGTAAGCATATAAATAGCAGTAAAAATTTTGAGTACAAACAGTCTTGAATCACACCTTGTGCTCATCATATCTAAGTGAAATTCAGTTTGAGAAGTGTTTTCTAAGCGAAAAAAATTGTATTAAAATTAAAGTGAACATTTTATGACTAAGTAAAAAGAAAATTAGAAAAATTTTCGAGAAATTTACGTACTCCAGTGCACCTGAAAACATAAATAAATAACTACTTAAAAATGGTACAAGTCCCAATGCAGGCTGCTTTTAGCATAGATGCTATACTTAAGAAAACCAGCAATCAACCGCAATGTGCACCAATCAAAATTTGTATGCCGCTGGAACAGCTTGCACAACAGCCTAAAGAATCGGATGAGCGACTAAATCGTATGCAAACTACTATGCCACGTATAGAACGCTTAAAATCTCTAGATGAGTGTTCAAGTACGGATGAATTTGAGAATCCCTCCGGCACCAGTACGCCATTTAGCGACGTTACCAATGCAACCAGCAGCAGTGATGACAAGGAGAACAGTGACGTGGAGGTAAATGATGACTCTTCCGAGGAAGTTAATGTTGATGATACGGCGGGCATAGAAAAAGTAGAAGAGAACGAAAATGAAAACGAAAACGAAAACGCTGACGATGAGAAACCGAAACCAAGCTATAATACTCTTATTATGAGGGCTATAGTAAAGAGCCCCTATGGGCGACTGACTTTAAGCGAAATTTATCAATCTCTCATGGACGAATACCCATATTTTCGCAAGAATAAGCGTGGTTGGCAAAACTCGATACGCCATAATTTGAGTTTAAGCAAGTACTTCACGAAGGTTAGACGCTCCAGCTGTGATCCCGGTAAAGGCCACTATTGGATGTTGGATAGCAGTGCTAACGAAGTCGAATACGGTGGAACGAATGGTAAATTGCGACGAAAAAATCCCGGAGCTAGTCGTTCACGTTTGGCCCGCCAAACGATTTACGCACCAGCTATGATGCCTTATGTAGCAGCAGCACCGGCATACTATCATCAATACGCAACTAATTATGCCCAATTGGGAGCTCTGCATAACCAACAATTAGCAGTAGCATATTATCAAGCACAAATGGTAGCGGCGGCGGCGGCAGCATCAGCAGCAGTCGCTCCACGATCTCCACCATCACCGATCGCGGTAGCCGCAGCAGCACGAGCACCACAACCGATGGCGACTTACGGTTATAATTCCTCACCGCCACTTCCAGCCGTAGCAGCACGAGCACCACATCCATTGGCGACCTATGGGTATAAATCACCGTCATCACCAGTCACAGCGACGGTAGCAACAACAGCATTGGCGCCACCAGCACATCATCCGGTAGCCTCAATGGGTTATAACTCTCCGCCATTAGCACCAGTGTCAACGCCAGTTTATAATCCAACAATGACAGCAGCAGCGGCGGCATATAGTTCCATGCCCATGCGCACAGTGCAATCTACGCATGTTCAAATGCCAAACGATTTCTTTCACCCGAAGCAGGTTTATGGCAAATACACTAGCAGTTAGTTCAGCTGCGTATATAGGGCTCTCAGTCAAAACCCGCCCGCTTTAGTGTCGTACAAAAATTGCGGACACCTGGAAGCAGTCGGCAAGCCCATCAAAAACGGCGAACGAAATCTTCACTTTTGAAGCAACTGACAACGGCCATTGTAGCGGCCTGCAGAGAATATTGAACAAAACCCCCCCACAAAAAAAAACAGCTTCATTTAATAAAGATGAAAAAAAAATTGTGGGGGCCTCTATTTGTATGAAGAGCACAAGACGCATATCAAACAATCGGAGGAGATGCTCGGCCGAAAAGTGCCAATTGTATATTGGTACACACATACATACATATTTATATATGTATGATGAACATGAATGACTTTATTATTTTATTTACTGGCGAATGTTTATGCACTCCAAAGGCTATTTAAAAAAATATGTATCGGAAAACTAAAAATGTTACAAATATTTCATAAAAAAAACTAAAAAAAATTTCAATTAAAAAAAAAAAATTATTGTTTTTCGAAAAATATGTAAAAAAAAATATTGTAAGCAAAAAATCTGATGCGAAAAATTTTAGACGCAAAAACAAAAAAAATATTTGAAAAAAAAAATTATTTGATCAATATTTCATTATTTATAATATATCATTTATATTTAGTTTCCTTATACATACATATATTCAAAGTTTATATTAAAACCAAAACAAAACAACAATAAAAATAGTGCATAAAAACTAAACTAAAATTATTTTTTAACTTAGAAAAAGAAAATTGGCAGGCATAAACACAAAGTTGGCTAGTTTTTCTTATGGAATTTTTATATCGAAAAAAAGCAAAACAGAAATAGTCCAGAAAGGAGCAACAAAAATGTGTGGGAAAACAAATAAAAATTCCTAAACTGGCGGAAGAGATTTTTCTTATGGAAATAAGAACTTAAGAATCTTCTAGGTTTCTCAATTAGCGATTATGTTGTTGTTTGAGCGTCCACAGATATCTTCTGAGAAGTAGAATTTTTCATTACATTCAAATTAGTTTCATTTTTTTGTTGAGGACTTTCCGGCTTCCGGCGATAGTTTGAAGTCATTGAAGAAAGCTGGCTGTTATGTCTGAGCAATTTGGCTGATCGAGTTGCCATCAGTGAAATGCGAAGCGAAGCGCAGGCGATGAAAAAAATATTTATTCAAAATATATACAAAATACCTCTTTTTAATTAACCCAAATATTCAATTAAAAATGACGGACGGACAAAATCTTTTTTTCAATGGAATATATTCGATTTGAAAGATCCATAGAGTTAAGGCAGCCAAAATTCCCTTTAAGAAATTTTAGTCGATCATTCGGTATCAGCCCTTATTTGAAAAATTTGATTTGGAAAAATCGCATTTTTTCTCGAATGTACTATATGTAATTAAGAATATATTGCACAAATTTTAGAACGAAAGACGAAATATTGACGAAGTTACACACCTTTACGTGAGCGTCTCGTAGTAGTACGCGCTGATCCGCAAAGTATTGTAGCTGCAAACGAATTTTTCTCGAAACAACGTTATTACGGTCGGGCAGGATGATGAAAAATTTGCTATCCAACCGCACTCTATTATTTTTTTTTTAATTTGTCAGCGTAATTGTTTACTCACTCAACAGCTCCAACCAGAATGAAAAATTTACATAACAAAAATCTTTTTGATTAACCTAATTCAGAAGTGTCCAAGTGTCAATTCTTTTCATCATTTTATTTAAATTAATTAAATTAATTCAATTTAAATTAATTTTGTTTTATATTATTTTTTGTTATACTTTATTTTATTTTACTTTGTTGTATATTATTTTATTTTATTTTATTTTATTTTATTTTATTTTATTTTATTTTATATTATTTTATTTTATTATATTATATTATATTTTATTTTATTTTATTTTATTTTATTTTATTTTATTTTATTTTATTATATTTTATATTATTTTATTTTATTTTATTTTCTTTCATTTTATTTTATTTTTATCTTATTTTACTCCATATTTTATATTTCATGGTATTTCAATTAAAATTTGTTACTTATATTATTTTATTTCATTTTTTATATTATTTTACTTTTTCTTTTATTTTATTTTTTTTTTATTTCAACTATATTTTTTAATTTAGCTTAGTTTTATATTATTTTATTTTATTTTATTTTATTTTATTTTATTTTATTTTATTTTACTCCATATTTTATATTTCATGGTATTTCAATTAAAATTTGTTACTTATATTATTTTATTTTATTTTTTTATATTATTTTACTCTTTATTTTATTTATTTTTTTTGTTTCATTTTAGATAACTATTTTTTTATTTAATTTTTATTTATTGTATTTTACTTCATCTCCTTATGTATTATTTAATTTTGTTTTATTTAATTTCGTTATCTTCTATAATCTGATTAACTTTTTTATTTTATTTCATTTCATTTATTTTGGTTAATTTCTTTGTCGTTATTTTGGTTTATTTTAATTTTATTTTATTTTATAATTAAATTTATATCTTCTCTTGTTTTTTTAATTTAATTTTTTTGTTTACTTAATTTAAGTTTATTTTATATTGTTTTATGACATTGGATTTGATTTTATTTCATTTCTTTAAAATCATATTTAAAATATATTGCAAAACGAAACGGATTGAATTTTTTTAGTTTTTTTTTCAAATAAAATATACCCAAAAAAGCATTAAAAGCATACTATTGTAGTTACCGACTAATTTCTTAAAATGTGCTTTGATGTTTTTTGAATGATTCGTTGCTATGAGGGAATGAAAATGAAAATAATAAACCAGCGACACGCCGTCTAACCTGGGAAAGAAGATGTCAATTCTATAAAAAAGCTTAAAATTTTCACACATTATTTGTATGTAAATACATTTATATATTCTCTATAGTAGTCTTTGTCTTTAAAAACTGCTCTAACCCGCTTTTTTCCTGACTTCACTGTCCCCTAATGTCCTCACATCAACACCATAGAGCATCTTTTCGTCTTAACACTTCATAATTCCAAGATTTGTCACCTCGTTTGTAGAAGAGATGAAAGAAATAAAAATTGTATAAAATACAAAAAGTAAATAAATATACAAAATTTTAATATAAGTTTTTTTTTCTTTTTTATTATTATTTATGTGTGTTGAACCGATCTTTGACAAATCTTCACATTATCCCACATTCAACACCTTTGATCCCACGCCGCCAAACAGCAAGATATCTCTCGTGGCTGTGTGCTGTTCTATTTTTTATTGTTTCGTTCTCTCGTCTCGCGCTGCTCAATTGCAGCCGATCTGCTTGTAAATGACTTAATTACGTGTTGAATCAAAATTTATATTGTTATGTATGGACATTTGGTAAATATGTACACGTATGTACTACAGTTATTTGTTGGTACACCGCTGCTGTCGCTGCCGCAGTGGGATACTCGGCTTTTGTGCGACCATCGGACTTCGGGGCTAAAAAGTAACAAGTTGATGGATCAATCTACTTCGAAAGCATGTAAGAGTATGTGTGTGTGTGTGTGTGTGCGTGTGGAGTTAGGCCAATAATGGTTATAGTACCGAATTAAGTCATAACGATCGACAATATGTTTAGTGACAAGTCCAGCTGTGAGGGTATACCAAAACAAGAAGGAGAACAAGGCATTAATAAAAAATGTAGAAGATGGTTAGAATTATAAAAATAGAAAAATAAAAGGCAAACGAGTTGTTTTGGAAGACAAATTGTCTGAAAAAAGCACAACAAAAACAACAACATGACAACAAAGGCAAGGAGCGCGGTAATGATAAAATCAACAACAACAAATATTATTAAAACTAGACTATCAAGTAAGGAAGAGCTCAACTCGGGGGGAATATAAAATCAAAGACATAATAATCAGTGAAAGGAAATCGTCGAGTTTGATCATTATATCCGCAGAGCACACTTTGGAACCACTTGAAAAAGGCTTCACAAGAAAACACGATATATAGATGCCATATGACAGTGATGAGAAAAAACCTCGTGGACCGGATATCCATCCCCCAATCCGAACGGTGACTGGTCCTGAAAAGTGTATCACTTACGACAACCTCCAATGAAAACGCTCGTGGGCAAAGGACAGTGAAACGATAGAAACGACCCCCAAGTCAGGGCTTCCTTTGTGTGATGGTGGGACTAGTAAGAAATCATCTGCTATGTGCTGCTCACCTCTGATCGAACTCTTTAATCGTCCGTCTGAAGAAAGCAATCGCCCAGAAGCGTCCTGTATTGGCCAACAAAAATGTAACTGCATCTCATTAGGACCACCCCAGACCATACACACCGATAGCGCTTGGTCATAGGCTTCGAGAGCTTGGTTGGAAGGTTCTTATGATTCCACTTGATAGTTCGAACCTAGCATTAAGTGAACGCCATTAGTTCCTGTCCGTGGCAAATGATTTGACTGATAAAAATTGTCCAAATTTTTCACCCATAGGAACAAGGGCTTCGGTGTGGTAGGCATAATGACGGTCATTTTAAGCAAGAAGTGTTTGCTAACTCTTGAGACTACGGACGAGTACAGAAAGATTCCTTTACATAATGCTATGCCTGATTTTCGGGAAACTTCTGGTAGCTACAATAGAGGCGACCGAATAGAGCACTCAAGGAAGACTCAAGCTTGCAGACAAAGCGTTGCACATCCCTACAGATGGCTCTTAAATGAATGGCGGAGTGTGGTCCCAAACGTAGATAAGAAGATATGTAGTGTAGTAGTTCGGCAGTCCCCTAAGCTGCTTAAGGGGAACAGGTTTACACAAAAGTAGACAGCCATGCGCCCATTATTACTTTCATAAAGCTAGAAGTCGGTAGTCGTTACACCTTAAAGACATAAGGGTTGCGAAGGCAAAAAAACAGCCAATCGGCTAAAGGTGAATGACACTATGTAACCATGAAATTGACAGTTCCTATTGAGGAACCAATGTATGTATGTAATATAATAAAATAAAATGCAAATAAGTTAAATAAAATAAAAAAATAATAATAAAATAAAAAAAATAAAAAAAAAAAAATTAAATAAAACAAAATAAAATAAAATAAAATAAAAAAAAAAAAAATAAAATAAAATAAAATAAAATAAAATAAAAAAAAATAAAATAAAAAAAATAAAATAAAATAAAATAAAATAAAATAAAATAAAATAAAATAAGATAAAATAAAATAAAATAAAGTAAAATAAAATATTAATCAATTATTGAGCATAGTCCTATAAACGTGACTGTACACCCAACAGCAGGGCCATGCCCCATTACACCCCATTTCTAATCTACAAACAAACAATTAAAATCTTCATTAAATATTATAAATTTATTATTGTGTAAAAACCTTAAATCTAAGCTAAATACATGAAAATATGTAATACAATTATTTGGCACGCCTTTTCTTCTTTCCTCGTCGTTGTACAATCATGGTATTATTATCCTTTTCAAACTCTTCCGCTATGCTCAGATTTCACGAATTCGTGGACTTTCCATTTCATCAACTCCATACAAGCAATGGAGTCCTCCACACTACTGTGGCCCATATCACCACTTCGGATATCCCATTTCAGATATTTCTTGCTCAAGCTTTTCAATGCACATCTATATGGAAATCCTAGAGGGTGAGGAAATTCATATGATGTATCTACAACACGCTTGTGAACCATCCGCAGAACGCGCAGATCGTTTTCTAAGCCATGACCGATTAGAATAGTGTCCGCGTTTATAAGTTGCAGCAAGTCTCTTTGAACTTCGGTAAAAGTTTTTAAGTGGCTATTTTCCTTCTGGCTTAAATTTCTTTTAGTAATGCCAGAAAATCTGGTGTTGTAGTCGACGATCGCACCCATGGGTTGCACGTAGTGATCATAAATAAGTTGATTATTACAATCAACCAGTGTCACTCTTGCAACTTCCAGACCACGACCCGTGAAAACCATTTCACAATCTAAAGCGTATACTTTTGTTTCATTGGAATTTTGCTGAGAGCGGGTGTAAACGAAGTCGTGGTAGGGCCCATTAATGCCCATTTCGATTCCCGTCCAGACATGAAATGCATTATGGGTGCAACCAGCTGAGTATTTTCCGCCGGAACAGCAAGTGTATTTCTTCAAGTTGTGCTCTTTTTGGGTGTCATAGAGTTTACCCCAGTGGAATGTGCAAGTCTCTGCATTTATATATCCGCCTGACTTTGTAAGGTGGAATGTCCGCTCACAGCGAATGCACTGTTTTTCCATGATCTCCTCACTGTTCAAACCACTCTTATATAATTTATTTGGGCGTGCCCCTAAGTAATCAATATGTTTGTAGATCTCGATCGCACCTTTTGCTTTAGCACTTTCCGTGGGATAACCGTGTAGGCGTTGCAAGTTGGCTTCCATTATGTAACGACTTAATTTCTGTACAAATACAGCCTCAGATAGGTTCAAGTTATTCTGTTGTTTCAAATCTACATGATTCTGGTGTTGAAGTTCTCGCTGCCTTTCTATAAGCAACGTTTCTTTTTCCAGTCGTTCCTTTTCAAGCTTCAGTTTCTGTTGGCGCCGCTGATTAATTAATATCTGGGTAACAGTCAAAACTGATGGTCCGTGTGCTGAACTATATTCGTGGTGAGTCTGTAGCTTGTATGAGTCCTTATGCGAGGGTTGTAAGTTTGTTTCTTGAGGCGGATATGGAGCATATAGTGGATAACGATATCCGCTAGTCAAAACTGCTGTTCCATGCGCTGAACCATGTCCACTATGAGTCCGTTGCGGAAGGTGAGAGTAATTAGGCTTCTGGTATACTGGCCTTGCCAGAATATATAGGCGCATATGCGGAGTTTGTAAACTTACATTGTGAGGCGGATATGTAACACAATATGGATGGTGAAATCCACTCGTCAAAATAACTCTTCCGTGTGCTGCACCATGTCCGTGATGAATTCGCTGTGGTTGGTGAGAATAATCTCCAAATTGATGAAGCATTTCTCTCCTTTTTCTAATTTGATGCAAATGAATAATATTAAATTTTCAGTGAAGCGTTTGTTGCTTCTCGATAAGTTTTGAATCTACAATGAAGTTTTGCTGAAGTGCGTCTTCTTTTATAGCTGATACCGCGTTCAGCGACAGCCAGAGCATGCGTAACAGTTGACCTGCGCCGGTAGAAAAACCCACGACCCTTTACCTTGGTTTTCCCGTTAGGAAATTTTGTTTAATTTCATTTCAACTCATTTTATTTTATTTTATTTTATTTTATTTTATTTTATTTTATTTTATTTTATTTTATTTTATTTTATTTTATTTTATTTTATTTTATTTTTATTTTTTTATTTTATTTTATTTTGTTTTATGTTATTTTATTTTTAATTAAAGGTAAAGTTTAAAAAATAAAATAAAATTTTTAAATTAAAATTTAATTTAGAATACAGCGGTGTGTAACTGATAAGAAGTTAATTTTATACGCTGGAAAAGGCCTCAACTACTGTCGATGCGCAATTCAAAATTTTTGCTGTTCATCTCGAATGCATAAGCTCCTTCGGCTCCAGAAGAGCGCTCGGCTCTTGCAACTTGTCAATAAACCCGTTAATTGTATAATATTAATATACCCTATATTCGGAATACAGTTGGGTATAAAAAATATTAGCATTTCCAAATTATTTTTGTTTATGTTGACGGCATGTTTTTTGTGAATACATACATACATACCTAAATGTGTAGTTTTAGTTGAAATTTCACTCTGTCCGCTGTTAAACTAACACGTAGAAAGGACCGCACGCCGCAGGACGCACCAACAAAGTTACAAACAGCGATATTCCTTCACTTACTGCTTTCCCTTTAAAATTCGAGTTTTATTGTCTACCTTCTGTATTTTTTTTTTTGTTTTTTTTTTCTGGTCTAATAACCTTCATGAAAAGTGAAAGATGAAACGCGACGTCGAAGTCGGCGTCCATTGTCAACGAGTTATAACGCGAGCGAAGGCGGTTTTCTAGGATCACATATACACAAATAAACCTATACATATGTATACCCCTTGGGAAAAGCGTGTAACAAGAGAATACTCAGTATTTTTGGTGAAAAAAAAATCAGTTACTATCAATCGTCAACGAGCGCATGCGTCAGCAGCGCAAAGTGTAGCAGTTCCGATGTGTATAAAGCGGCATATTGCTTTGATCAGCAAACAAGTGAGCGAACTGTTTAGACATAATACATATGTACATACATACTATTCACATATAAACGAGTGTGTACGTACTTACATTTAAATTTGCTCTAAAGGATTTGGGGAATTTCAAAAGTGCAACGCAGACCTATCCCCGGACAGTCATATATGTATGTATGAATGTGTGTATGTATGCATTGTAGTTTGTAGGTGTGGATAATAAATGGGGCACAATCACTGACTGTGAGAATTTCATACCAACACCAAACCAAAAAAAATGGATATAAAACAAAATAATCAATGGAACTACAACTATTTCTATGCACACATACATACATAAATATATATATTCAAATTTACATACATTAACAGTTCATAATAGCATCAACAGCAATATAAACAACAAAAAAAAACAAAGGAAAACAACAACAAATGTGCTTCTTTGCTTCTGGAACGATTTTATTCAAATTTAAATCGAGCTCAAAAATCCAAAATCACATTGTCCCTTTCCACATACATATATACATACAAATTTATATTTACAAATATTTGTTTGTATGTATTTAAAGAGCTGTATTAAACTATACAAATCACTAATAGCCGCCGTTGTTGTTGTTTTGTTTTTCTTGCTCAAACTTCATAAATTATGCCCTGAGTTTATAAGAAAGCCGAGGTGAAAAATTGTGTAAAGAATTCTTATGGAAAGAATACTTTTAATACGTATGTATGTAAATAATAACAAAAGATTGAAAAATTCGTGGGCTCAACAGTTCATAAAATCTAATTTAGTTTAGTCAAATAAATTAGGGCTTTAAATTTTTGCATTTCGCTGCAGTTGTTGTAATATTAATCACAAATAAAAAAATATTTCTTATTTCATTTTTTTTATAAGCAGTTTATGCTTATTTGGTTAATTTTCATGTTCTGGAAAAAAATCAACTTTTTTTATCAAAATATCTCTTTTATAACCTTAAAAGTAGGTCCTCATTGAAGTTATTAAAATTCACTATAAAAATAACGAAAACTTGGCAGAGACGGTTCGTAAAACTAAAAAAAATTTCGAACAAGTTATTGATTTAAAGAGGAAAACACTTACAAATCACTCAAGGACAACTGAGGATATTGTTGCTGTAGCTCAAAGTGTTGATGTTTCTATGTATTCTATGTATTTTGAGATTCTTTTGTCAGAGATATCTTCCTTCTCGATCAAGGCGGGAACAATACCGATAGGATTATACAAGGAGGAAGCAGTGCTGGTTGGTTGACCTGATTACGGGCGGTCGTACTCATTGAGTTTCCCGTCTTAATCCAAATGTGAGTTATCGAACAATTTACACGACCTGATAAATTTGTTTAGTTTGTGTCATCCATGCATTGTGGCCGTTATGACGCTTCAATCGAATGAAGGTCGGGCACAAACAAAGGTAGCGCTCCACAGTTGCTTCTTCTGCCGATCATACTCTGCACTCAGCTCATTCAATTTAACTTGGCTTTTTAATATGAATTCTCAGGAGCGGGTGTACCGTCAATACGCCTGGTAGATCCTAAGATCCCTTTTGTTTAAGGTTAATGATCTTATTGCAGTCTATGCTGTCTCTCAGTACTTTGGAACTCTAGTATCTTAAATGTTCCTATAATTTGGCGTAGCTACTGCGAGTCTCTTCCCCTTTCATTACCTTTGACATCCGTGTGATCTGAGACCTTAAAGACAAGACATTCACTGCGTTCTCCCGTGATTGTCTGTCAATTACCTCCTTGGATCTTCTCACGCATTTAGACTTTGTCTTCTCAGTAAAACCTCCAATTTCTGGTTTGAAAACAGTGTTATTGCCAGGAAGTTTGATATTAACATCTCTATTGGGGAGATCACAGAAGAACACTGGATGTTCTCGCAATTTGGAGCACCGCGTTGTGATTAAATCCCTTGTAAAAGAAAGATGCAAACCGAAAAAAAATTTCGAAAAGCTGTTATTGGTTCTTCAGGACTCTGACCCTTCATGTACGATGGCAATTAAATGGGTTCGGCCGTTTCAACAAGGAAGAGAGACCTGTGAAGATAACTCCCAGTGACGGATGTGACCGGAGAAAAATGTTCATAAAGTCGAAAAACTAGTACTGGCTGATCGAAGAACTAAATTGGGGCAGATAGCAGCAGGATTACAGTTTGACAAAGAATGAGCGGGAGAGATGTTGCATGAACATTTGAATATTGAAAAGATAGTACGCTTTGGATCTCACGAATTCTCACGCCGCTAGACAAGCAGCGACGATTGGAGAGTTGTAAAGATTTTTCGGAGTTGTGCCAAGATGATTTGGATGAAACCTGGATGCGTCAGTATAATACCGACTTAAAATAGAAGTCAATACAGTGGTTACAAAATGGAAGAGTCCACCAATCCCTCAGTGACTCTTTCCATATCTGAAATTTAAAAAATAGTTTACGGGGACAAAGATTTTCCGACGACTGCACTGAGATGAAAGCGGACGTGGAAAACCATTTTGAAGAGAAATCTAAGGAATATTTGTTCAATGCTATAAAGGGGAGGATTTTCCCTGAGGCAGACTGTATTGAAAAATAAAATACATAAAACCATACATCTGTTTCATCAAGCACTTTAGGCCACGAATTTCACAACCGTCCTTCGTATATATCAATGTTTGTATGTCTAAATAGTAAATAGAGTAGTTACTTTTCTCAGCATTTTTTTTTAGAAATTTCTACTTGCCTAATTGCCTTATTGCCGCTGAATTTCAATATACCTACGTGGTTATATTTCCATATAATTTTTATAATAGAAAATATAAGCAGACTTTGGCTATGTAGGTTTATACATGAATACATATGTATGTATTGAATCCATAGATGTATATATTATACATACATATATAAATGTATTTAGTATTAACCGTGAAACTGGAGCAAAGTGGGCGTGGCACTGTAACATAGTGGGTTGTAAATAAAGCTGGACCTCGAACAAAGTGGAACTGTGGAACTGTAACCGAGTAGGTAGTAAATATTGCTGAAAAAGTATGTAAAGTCAACTGTAAACAAAAAGAATTTTTATTAACGCTAGATTTGGACCGAACCCTAATGACTATGTATGTACATGCTAACATGTAACTTCCGCGAAAATCCATATATTATGACCTTCGCCGGATTTTAGCAACCGATGCCAATACTAAAAGTGAAGGTAAATAATGAAAACAAAATTGTTTATTTAAATATGTGTGTATGTAACTATAGAACGTTACCTCGTTCCCTTCCCGGAAAAAGACTATTTACCTAACAATAACAAAAACAACAAAAAATGTAACAGCGAAATCATGCCAGCCATTTGAGCATATATATGTATACATATATACTATGTATGAAATATGACTGACAATATTTTCCAAATTTATTTTGAAAAAAAAAAAACATATATTTTCAAAAAGCATAATTTCAACTGTAATTTTTTTTGCCAAAATATCAGTTTAGGTTATAGATGCGTGGCCAAGCAAAGTCTCCAACTCGGCAGAAAATAGATAGTAAATATTTGGAATCCTCAAAGAGGGTTAAATTTAGTACCCAACAGCTCATTGGCTCTGTCAACGGCGTAACAGCCAAGTGCCTCCAACCTCAGGGTAGGCCTAAGTTGCCAGTTTGATTACATGAGAAAGGTGTTTAGCTCTCACTAAAAGCGAATTGTGTAGCTTCAGGTATGCAAGAATATATATACATATGTGTATATATATATATTCCACCGATCTCGTCCTCCAATTTGTGGTTTTAAACTTGATGTTTTTCCAACAAAATGGGAGAACCCACAGTTTTGACTAAGCCGCCTCCGAACTGCTTATCTGCTGATGGTTTTTTTTATGAGCAGTTTTATTCCATGTCAGATATACAC